ACTAACACGATATTCGTGATCAGCACCCCGGAAAACCCCATGGCAGTCACACTTTACGACTTTCTAACAGGTCCCGATTTTCCCGATTCTCGGGTCATTGACCTGACCTGGAAGGTCACCCGATGACCTAGGACCTTAAAATTGGATATCATCGGCTTCCTCTCGTGACGGGCAACACGCTCGTTTTTTTCCGCGAAGCTCTAGCTCGATCAGGGGCCAAACGCGAGGGGGTCCGGGGTCGTATCCCCCCCCCCCCGTGCCGTCGAAGGACGCAAAATGGCCTGTGCCGGCGAGGGTTAAAATTGGGTATCATCGGCTTCCTTTCGTCACGGGCAACACGCTCGTTTTTTTTTGTGAAGCTTTAGCTCGATCAGGGGCCAAATGGCAAGGAGGGGTCGGACCCCCCCCCCCCTTATACGTTCGCGGCTGGAAAAACACCAATACGGGCGAGGGTTCAGGAGGGAAGAGAGTCGGTGACGGTCAGGGGCACTACAAGCAGAGCACCATAAGCCGGTGACCGGGCTGACATACCATGTTTTGGTAGCATGACTGAAACATACTTTTTTGGGTAGCCAGGAAATCGCATGCGAGAGCCTATTTAAATTCTTACATCGGCCTTTATATGCACCAGTCGCATACAGGTACGGGATTTAGCATACGATTTCCAGACAATCGAAAGACTGATTGGAGGCAACGAAGGAAGGAATGAGTGAGTTAAGTTGAAGGTATTTAAGGTATGAAGGTATTAAGTTGAATTTGGTTCAAAATGATGATGTAGATAACTTAGTTATTAAAATCTAAATATCTTATGACGAGAGCGATTGGCATTTTTGGTGTGCAGTGTTATTCATTGAAAACCGGTCGGAGCGTTTGAGTCTTTAATTTAGTGGTCGCCGCTTACTAATCATGCGGCATACACGCCGCACATAACCGCCAATGCCGCAACGCAGCTTAGATTTCGAAGTAAGCATTTAGTCTCACCCTACGGCCTTGCTGTTAATTGTTATCTGTCCAAGGGACCGTCGCCACGAGGAGCGAGACGGACTCTCGCGATTGCGGGAGCCTAAAAGGAAGGAGAAAGAGCTCTCCACTTGTGGGGCGCATTATTCGTTGGATACAGGAATGGATAATGAATCAAATACCTAAATGTGCCACAAATGACCGAACATTAGATTACCGATAAAAACAAAACTGAGGTGTATTATATCCCTATTCCATGCGTCTTGTCCGATATTTTCACAACGCCATCATGCAGTCGTTTTGTTCAGTTGACATTTTGTCATAGGTGTAGCAACGTATCTCTTTGGTGAAGGATACCTTTCACCAAAGTTTCAGATTGGTGAAGGATCCTTCACCAATCTTGGACAATGCAAGGGAGGGTCTTCACCTACCTATGCTTAGAACTACTGGATTCGACGGTTGATCAAATGTCTGTTTTTTATATGATTTCAAGCTTTTACGACTAGCCATCTTAATTCAAGGTAGGTACGTTTTTCGGCTACTAGTCGTTTATTGTTTTCGTTTCGAATTTTCGACCTTCGCATCGAGGTCGTTGTCAAGAAACATACAACAATGACGATGACATGCATCGTGAACACGTTTGAAAAATAGTACGGTCATCATATCTAAAAACGTGCAAGTAATCCCTCCAGCTATTTCTGACCTGAAAATCTGTACCCAAAATTAATGAAGAAAAAAAAGTGTATGAATAATATGAAAGAATGAATGAATGGCTAACTGACGGACTGACTGACTGACTGACTGCCTGACTGACTGAAGAAATGAATGAATAAATGAATGAATGAATGAATGCAGTACATGAGACACACAAACAGGCTGTGACACATTAAAAATACATGCTTAAAATCTTTGATTGCTTGATCGTCGGATCTCGTTGCCCTACCAGCACTGATCCCATAAAGGACTGAATGCGGTGCCGTCTACTCGGTTGATCGTGTCGTTTTTCTTGACGTGTATTTGTAACGCTTCTTTCATTCATTCTTTCATATCATTCATACACTTTTTTTTCTTCATTAATTTTGGGTACAAATTTTCAGGTCAGAAATAGCTGGAGGGATTACTTGCACGTTTTTAGATATGATGACCGTACTATTTTTCAAACGTGTTCACGATGCATGTCATCGTCATTGTTGTATGTTTCTTGACAACGACCTCGATGCGAAGGTCGAAAATTCGAAACGAAAACAATAAACGACTAGTAGCCGAAAAACGTACCTACCTTGAGTCTGTTTTTTAACCCGCGCCCGGCTGGGGGTCCTGGATTTCCACGCCCTGCTGGGGGGGGGGGGGTGTTTGAACACCCCCCTTCTAACTCGGCTCCTGGGCCACGTAGCGATACGCAGAAGGCGGCGTTCGAAAGAGCGTAAAAAATAATGACGAAATCACTTCGGTCACTTTTTCGGTCAGGTCAAAGGTCAGGTCACCAGAGGTCATTGAAGGCAAAATTTTGCCGATTTTCAGGTCGAATGTCGACAATTTACAAGAAGCCAACGCATAGCTCGGGAACCAATAGAGCTACAGCGCCACGGAAAAGCGCATTCGATAGCCCTATTAACGCCCTTTCTGAGTGATTCTCTCAGATTTGACCTAACGTCAACGGTTTTGCCTGCAGGGGGCAAAAACTGCAAAAATAACCGATTTTTTCGGAAACAGTTTTTCTGCAATAACTTTTGACTCAAGCCTTGTACGAGCTTATTTTCACCGGCATCGAGTTCCTCTCGTCAAGACGCATCAAATGAACTATAACTTGACCTTGAAAGGTCAACTTGAAAATTTGACCTCAGGTCAAGGTCATGACCTGACCGGACATTGTCATGTTGCATATTAGTGGTTCTGTATCGTCGAGCTGAACATATATAAGGCGTTTTCATCGTTCTAGCATGCCTCTTTCAAAAGTTAGTCGCAAAAAAACTGTTAGATACCATTCGTGACCTGAGATGACCTTAGGGGCATAAACAGGGGTCACGGGTGCCGTTTTCATGTTCAGTGTGTCAAAGTTCCTTGTAATTTAGTGTTTGAGAGTGTTCAGAATGACTTTCGTCCGAAAAAGACGGTTTTGAATTTTCTCCCATTGACATATAATACCTAGAGAGGTCGCAAAATTGACCCGACATTAGGTCACCGATATGAAAATTCCGAATTTTGTACATACTGTTGCACTTATCAATTGCTGAAAGCTTCAAAGCGATCCGTCACTTGGTGTAGCTATGGCATACATTGAAACATTTTATGATGTGTTTATGAGGTGAGGTCACTTGTAGCGACCTGGTGACCTGACCTTGAAGGACCCTGGTCTGAAATTTTCACAAAATGTATAAAATTGATAGATGATAAGGTGCCGCCGTTTTTCAGATATCCGCGAAAAACCGCAGGGTGGGTGTTATGGTGGGTGTTCAAAAACCTCCCCCCCTCCCAGCAGGGCGCGGGTTAACACACTTTGACCATTTGCCCCAGTAGTCAAAATTCCTCAGCCGAGGCCCTGATTTACATCTTGCTGTCATGGCAAGATGCACAATGCAGTTTTAGGCAGGCATTGAAAATTTGACGTTAATGGGATGATAAGGGCGTAAGATATCTGCGAAAAACAAGGGGTTGGCGAAATTCGCCCCCCCCCCCCCCCCGCTTGCACTGTGCGTGTTGGTTGGCACGGTCCTGTCCCTTTTCATAAGGTTCAGGTGGCATCCTTCACCAATATTTTTGGCGCTCCTACACCCATGCATTTTGTTATGAGTGTAATTACCGTGACCTATTACACTGCCCTTAGATGACATAGGGTTGAAATTGTCGCGAAATATGCTGAAACGCCAAAGGGGAATGATTTGGCGCTGCTCGTCGCCGTTTGTGTGGTACCTATTTGGGAGAGAGAATAACACAGAGGGGCGTAAACATGTTCGCACCCCCTTCCACGGCGCGGCTTGAAAACCATGCTGTTATGGGTGATGAAATTCCGAAGCGTAAAACGCGTCCACCCGAATGTGCTGTGAAACCCGTCTCAATATATATAATAGTAATTGTCACGTTATGTAACTCTTGTCACAGTTTTCACAAAAGTTAGCCAGCGGAGTGGGACTATTCCATTTTCAAATGTCATCTGGGAGTGACAATATCGGGTGGATGAGTGCTAATGTATATTTTTGGTTCGGACCAGTCAATCACACCGGCATCCCGGTAGGTATCCGACCTCTGACCTCCATATGTTAAGGTCAGACACGGACGGTGAGCCTGACACCCCTGCGCTCTGCACACACGGTTGTTAAATAATGCAAGCGTGTTATCCTTAGTTACTTACATGTGCATTCGAGTATGGCAAAATGACTTACGCTAGTGAGGTTTGGTTAGGTTTAGCTAATCCGGTCTAAGTTTGAGCCCAAAGAGTGGAGCAAGAGTTTGCCAGACAGATTGCTTCGAAAATTTACGGTATGGGGAAGGCATTTATAGCATTTATAGGGCAGCACATTTCTGCACCCGTACTACCTCTTCCCAACCTCTACCCACTTAAAATATTTAGCTAGTACTGTGGTTTTCTTATTGACTATTCATATGGCCTTGGACTATTCACAGCTTGAGGAGGGGAGTGAAATATCCGCCATTACTCGCTTATGTAAGATACACTGTCCTACGGTAAAATTTAGTGAAGCCCTTATGCCAAATATTTTGTTTTCGACGCTCAGTGTAAAGACTTCTGAATTTGGTCACTTTTTGCCTGTCAACTTTGAAACATTTTTACGGGGAGTTGCAGCATCTTTTTAGGGATCATTTCGTCGATCGGCACTCACGACCGATTATCTATTAGAGAATCATCTTTTATCTATATGTAGAAAAAATAAACGAAAAAAAATCGCTAAGTGCTTCTTGGATCCTAGTCTTCTCTACCTGCATGTTCCAAGCAACATTATTTTATCGCCACTGCTCTGGTTTTACGTCGTATAAGCATGACCCGTTTCCCGTCATTCTTTCCTGACGAGTTTGTTCTTTTGCAGATCAACTTTCGGAGAACTCGACCGATGAGAATAACGTGCGACTTGTACAGGGTATTATCGACCGCGCAATGAAAAACGAAACGCTGCTGAATGAACTCACACTACAGCTAATAAAACAGACAACAGGTAAGCTCAGGGTAGAGCGAACTACGAGGGTAGAGCAGAGGAGTGAGTGAGTGAGTGAGTGAGTGAGTGAGTGAGTGAGTGAGTGAGGAGAGAGAGAGAGAGGGAGAGAGAGAGAGAGAGAGAGAGAGAGAGAGAGAGAGAGAGAGAGAGAGAGAGAGAGAGAGAGAGAGAGAGAGAGAGAGAGAGAGCAGCTCGGTTTGTTATTATTCGTAGAACCCTGTCAAACTAGTGTCTGAAAGTTTATAGTTCATATAAAAGATGCGATTTTTTTTTACTTGTGTTGGCCTTTGCTGACGTCCCTCCCCCCCCCCCCCCCCCGCTCTCTTGTACAGATCACCCCGATCCGAACTCGCGAGTGAACCGGCGCCATTGGTCCCTGATGGCACTTCTCTGCTCCACGGTCATCCCTTCGTACCAGCCGACCAAAAAGTACCTGGCCGCCCACCTGACCAAGTGCGCCAGCGATTATGTCACCGAGGAGGGCAAGTACGCCCGGTTCGCCGAGAAGGTGGGTCCTGGGAGAGAGAGAGAGAGAGAGAGAGAGAGAGAGAGAGAGAGAGAGAGAGAGAGAGAGAGAGAGAGAGAGAGAGAGAGACAGAGACAGAGACAGAGACAGAGACAGAGACAGAGAGAGACAGAGAGACAGAGAGACAGAGAGAGAGAGAGAGAGAGAGGGAGAGAGGATTCTTGTGAGGCGAGAAATCTAGGTAGTTCTACTATGAGATGATTGATCTACTCGAGTCATAGCAAAAGATTGCTGCTTGACAGTTTGCTATTATCGTTCTATGCCGCTCTAAGCGATCGTTTGTTTTGCAAACATTCATTCATAAATCAGCTGCCCGTCATCAGTTTATAATTCCTCACTCTTCTCTGACTCCGTCCTCTTGTTTCAGTGCATGCACAAGACGATCCACTGTCGTCGGCGACAGTGGGCGCCCTCCCGCCAGGAGGTGCTGTGTACGGTCAACTGTCGGCCCATCCACGCGCGCTTCCACTTCATGGACGGCCAGTTCCACAGTGTGGAGTTTGAGGCGGCCGCCACGGCCGGAGAGGTGCTCCAGCTGGTCAAAGAGAAGATCGGCCTCAAGCCGGACGCCAGAGGTATGGGCATGACCGCGCCGTATCGCCGTCTGTTGCCTGGTGGGGGCTACCGTATGTACACCTGGGCGTGGGATTCATCAAAGTGAGAGGTGTGTTTCTCAAACTTCAACTCAATATTATCACTAGGCTGTTTCCATCTCGGTATTAATTGTCCATTTTTTGTTATTAGGCTTTTTATCGACAACTTGTATGACTCAACACATGCTTAGGCTCATACAGTCTCACATATGTATCACCTGAGCATGCTCAGCGGTTTGCTGCTGAGAGCCCTGTTTGCCACACTTGTGACATAAGTCTTCCGAGTCGTGCACCAGTGTCGGACACCAGTACCACTCACATACGTCTGAGCCGTCTGGAAATAGTCCCTGCCGGCTGCCTGTCTGTGGGGTTTCTGACCGGGCCTTCCCTCGCCCTACTCAGGTTACGCCATCTATGAGGTGCTCGGCCAGAGCGAGCGCAATCTGCTGCCGGACGAGACGCTGGCCGATGTGATGTCCAAATGGGAACGGTGAGTGATCCAACGCGCGCCCTGCCCGCGGCACGGGCGGGCCCTCCGTGCGGGCCTCAGGGGAAGAGAGGCGTCACTGACGCGAACACACTTATACCATAATACCGCACATAAATATTGAAATGTGTTTTTTTATATTTGATGCTCAGCCGGTGGAGTTTATTGCTCTTTTTTCCGCTAGATCTCATGGTTATCAGCATGATGCTTTGCTGATTTATCCGTATTGTCCACTAGGAAAGATATCATCGTAGCTTGATTTTCTTGTCAGACCTGAATCATTGGAATGAAACCGTCCACCGATACCAAAGCAACAATATTTTTGTGTGTGCAAAAAGGGCTATTTCAGGCAAATGTCTTTATTTGGCATCCTAGATTTTAAAACTACAGGGTGTTTCACAATAAATGTTACTTTTGAATAGCTTAAATGAAGATCTTACTTGTTCGTAAGCGCGTAAATTTTATATGCATTTTGTTGCAAATTTGTTGCGGTTTTTAGTCCTTATATTTTTTTTGCAAACCGTCAACGGTTCCATCTGTATGGACGTGCAATGCCAACACCGTCAAAACGGGTCAATTCGCCGTGTACAGATGATGAGGCGGTATGGGTGGTCATGCATTACGGCGCTTTGCGAAGTCTGACCGCAGTGCGACGGAGTTTCGGTAGCCATTTTTAAAAGAGGAAGGATATTCCATCAAAAATGTCTTTCAAACGGGTGGTAGAAAGGTTCCAGAAGACTGGAAACACGAGACCAGCCCCGCCTCCTGGCCGGACGGCGATCCCAGAAAATCTGGTTGAAAAAGTCAGACGGAAGGGTGGCATAAGTGGAGAACACGTGAGGCGTGAAGGGTGCTGAACTGAAAGTTATACGTTCATCAGTCCTACTACATTCTGCTGTCTCATGTGGTAATACCTACTCATGAGCCATATGTAATAGGGGAAAGTGGGGTAAGACGGTCAAGGTAGGTAAGACGGGCACCCCCTCTGCAGACCAAACCAATAGCGCTACGAGCGAGAAAAATTAGGACCAGAATAGCCTTTCCCACTACACACCGCCATTGAAGTCTGGTGAATTTGTGTTCGGTCAATAATCTTTTATTTTGATTTCTTTAAAACACTCATTTCATTGAAAACATTCATAATGTATTGTGCAAGCTTTTGTGTGCAGCACTATAGAGTTAAAAACTGGCAATCACTTGTGGCACACTCATATGCCTCCAGTGTTCATTCACCGCGGATTTGCTTTGTCTGCATCAAATTGTCCACAGAGAAAAATCGTGCTGAACTTCTGACATTGAGTTTGGGGTAAGACGGGCAACTATGAATCCGATGGGTCTGTAATGGTAAAAATATTTTTGTTGCTGTAGGAAAAAAGAAGCATTTCTGATAAGAATATGTTCGATTCCGATACTCACAGACATGTTAGCAATATTCCTTCGGCACAGTTTATTCTCGAATAATGAATGTGAAAAACGGCTCTACATGGCTTCTGAACTAGGGCCTATATACGAGTATACGCCTTCTGCACGAATCTCGTATACTGCCATTTCCGAAGCACTTGAGACCAACGAGCGACTGTATCAATGCGGCTAATCTCGGGCATTTGCTGCGAGCTGTGCTGGTCGGTGAAAGAAGCTGGCCGTCTTGCCCTACCCATGTGACCGTCTTACCCCATGGAGTGGGGTAAGATGGGTTTTTGCAAGGTTTTGCAAAAATAGCTGCAGTTTATTTGTTGAGTCAGGTCTAAGTCTCATCTTCTGGCAAATGGAAGTAAAATGTCTGTAAAAGGTTTTCACTCAGTTTCCCGTTTCTATGATGTTTCTAACCGGCCGAAAAATGGCTCCAAAGTTAAGGTGCCCGTCTTACCCCACTTTCCCCTACATGTCACTGAAATATCGTCGTTTGAAAAGCAATATTCATTGTGAAGGACCCTGAAGCTTAACAGCGAATTGACCCGTTTTGATGGTGTGGACATTGCACGTACATTAAGAATGCAGTTGCTAATTCGTCATAGTTTTTGTAAGGATAAAAAACCCGAAAGAATTTGCAACAAAATGAATATAGAATTTATGGGCATACCAATAGTTGAGGTCATTTTAAAAGCTTATCAAAAGTAACGTTTATTGTGAAACACCCTGTAGTAAAGGCTTTGTTTTGACAACGCTGGCATGTTCCATCGTGCAAAGCGTCTTACTTCTCCGACTTCCAAGAAGTCGTTCGGTGCCCAACGACAAACCAATAGCTCACTTGCCTAACAATGCGCATGAAAACGGTCATTAGCTATTTTTTGCTCCGCATTTCTGGTAGTTTGCCGAACGCCGCTCGGCGCTGGAGGTACGGTCGCGGTCGCCCACGGGTGGCCCAGCCTCAGATGTGTCCAAATTCGTCCACCACCGATCGGGCCCATTGTCTGACATGTGTGGCGCTGACAGTTGGCGTTGGACGCACGACTGATGACTGCCTGTAACCGTGTTAGTCGGCCCGTGTCGCCAAGCGTCGCCGGCGGTGGAGCTCGCTGGCTGTGCCGCCCGCTAGCGGCGACCAGTGACGTGCCACCACCTGAAAAAGACCTACCACAATGAACATGTCTAGCCCGACCTGCGTCACGGCACGAGACAGCGCGGCGCGCCTTGTGGTCATTGTCGGCGACCTCCCACGCCGGGCCGAGGTTGGAGCCGCGCCTCCGCCGCCGCCGTCCCCATTGGCCGAGCCTGTGTTGGCGGGTGACTCGGCTGACTATAGACCAGTATCGATCGCGGCCAATAATGCTCCCAAATATGACCCTGTCACTCTGCCGGGACGGCAATCGACGACGTCATATGAGTCTGATTTTTCATGGAGAGAAGGTCGCTCGATGACCAACTAATGAGCCATCGATGCCCAGGACGCTGCGTAACGTTTCGAAAAACAGAAAGTGTTACGTAATCACTTGCGCAGAACGACGAAACACTGCCCTGAGCTCGCGAACCGCAAATTAGGGTTCCATTTATGGGTTCTAATTAGCCTTGCTCATTTTGTTTCAATGTATGGCGGCTGCCTTGTGTCTGAGCTTCTTTGGCGCCGGTTTGTCTTTCATTCATGGACACGATTTCGGTTAACATGTTCTTTTTCAATCATTGCGCTCACGAATCCCAACACGTGCATTCTTTGAGCCGACCCAAGTCTTAAATCCTCTTCAACTAAAACTGGCCTCTGTGATTTTGTCAATTTTTGAGTAGGACAATGTGAAACTTGGTTATGTAGCCGCTGATTTACATTTTCGAGCTTATTATTGCTGATTCCCGACTCGATGTCACTATTTATCAACAAGTGACACTCAAGCTCTAGGCTCCTTATTCCGGCTGCATCAGTTCACATTGCCCTGTACGTACATTCCCTGTCCTATTTCACCGAGATTTAACCGCTCGTCACGCCCGCTGACCCTCAGGTACCAGACGGCCACGGCCGGCACGGACAAGGCGCGCAAGCAGCACATCTTCCTCTTCAAGAAGCACCTGCTGTGTGACGAGACCCTGGACCTGGAGGACCGGGTGGAGAAGGAGTTGCTGTACCACCAGATGCTGCACAACGTGCGCAACGACAAGTTCCCTCTGACAACCATGGAGGCGGTAAGTGGTCAGGGAGGGACGATGATGACCGGTTCGGCGAAGATTGGTCAGGTCGGAGCGGCGAAGGGTCTGGACGGGACGGCGATAAGTCAGGCTAGGGCGGTGGCCGGTCAGGTCAGTCCCCGTTCACGAGCTCCAGAATCCCTTTACCCTGACGTCACCACGGCGGTAGAATCTACAGGGTGATTTTTTTTACTTGTTAAAAAGTAATGAGGTTTAGTGGCGTTAAAATGCAAATATATATTGCAAAATAATATACCAGCATGACGAGCATTCTGGGACATTTTGATTTCATGCAGACACAATGTGAAGGAACGTCCATTGTGTATTTTACTTGTGCTTGAAGCTACCCCCTCTCTCACCGACACGAATCAGCCCGCCTGAGCACGTGTTGAACAGCACCGTGGACTCCTAGACCCTTTAGGCAGACTGAAAAGGCTCCTATCACCCATTTTTAGCTCTGCCAGAGATTTCCACTGTTTTCTTGTTATATCTGCCATACCTGGGTTCAAAAACTAGAAGTCTAGAAAGTGCAGGTCGATGATTTTGTTACTGGCGGCCCTGGTGGTGTCTGATTCGCTGTTTTTGTTTTCTCCCTGAAGAATGATTCTTCAGAGGCTGCACATACGCCAGATGGACCGTTTGAAGGCTATTTATGACTATAAGCTTGTTCGTGCATTATTTAATGTCTTTCTGAGGTATCTCCTTAATTATCGTATGCTTCGAACTGCCTCAATGCTTCAAAATCATCGTTTTGTGTCGTTCCTTACTGAACGGCGGTGGACCATGCGTGCCCGATTGGTGGGACATTTTCAGGCTCCATTGGGGCCGAGGCCTTCGGTTAAAAGGGACAAATCATGACACCATACAAAATGTCCCACATTTATCTATCACGTGCATTACTTTTTTGCACACGATTTTTCGATTTAGGGACCACCAATTACGTTTACTTTTTAACAGTTAAAAAAAATCACCCTGTACACCCATAGGCATGTATGTATGTATGTATGTATCACCCATATGTATGTATCTTCACCCATAGGCATGCATGCAAATTTCATCATCTTTCGAGCGAGCTGGAGAAAAAAAAAACAAGGATTGTGTGTCATCAAAAGTTGTACCAATGTAACAATGAGTTCGCCTGTTTACGATAAATGGGGCTGAAATTAGAAGAAAAAATAGGACTATATCGAGCCAAAATCAGCAATTCCCTTCAAGCAACCCCTTCATTTCAACATGAAGGATTTCCTCTGATGACATCACCACGGCGCCTTTATTTCCCTAGTGAACCAACCTGAGTAGTAAAGGAATCTTGGGGTCAGGTGAAAGGTGGTCAGTGTGGAACTGTGAACAGTTTATTTATTTATTTACATCGTGTGCTCGTCCCTCAAAATCAGTGAAACAGTCAGGAGGAAGCGGCGAAAGGTCTGGACGGAACAGCGAAAAGTCAGGGTAGGGCGGTGGCTGGTCTCAGGTCCTAGTGACAATTGGTTAGGACGGGAGGTGGGCGACCCGGCTGGTTGTGCAGGTAGCGGGACTGGCTTACTGAATAGTATGGTGGGATATATTATGATATATTATCAATAGTATACGAGTAGTGTGTGATATTCACAAAGAGACGTGTACACGGCCATTAGTCGTTTGGCTTGTATTTTATATAACTGCATGATTTAGCGGTTTATTGTAGCAATTGAACGTGATTTAGTGATTGAGCATTGTAATGAGTTTGCGTCCTATATTAAACACAAAACATATTATGGTGTGGCTTAGGGTTTTCTGCTGTATATGGTGCGGAAAATCAAGAAGTATCGTCATGCTTCTATGGTAGAACGCTGTTCCTACAGACTAACTCGCATGATTCTTCTTATTCTTTTTCTTTTTTATCGAGATAAGAAGCTCATGGCCTGAAGGACCCGATTGCGTCGAAGTCTCGAGTGGAGCTTATCACGGGTAGCAGGAGTGGAGTACCAGAAGTACTCTCAGCACGAAGCAAGCTTCTTCTTGGGAGTATTAAAAGAAGTGTTATATAACATATAAAATATAAAATATTAGAATTAAATATATTTTTATGTATTAAATATATAATAAAAAGTATTATTGAAAGTATTAGTGGCTGGACATGAGTGTTCGACACAATATGCTGGAAGGTGGAACGCCATTCCAATAACAATTCATCGCACTATAAATCATGCTCTTCTAGCCCGACAAAATGCACGGGACGACTGAAACCCTACCGAAGCTTTACTAACTGAAGCTTTTACTGAAGTACGAGGTTTCAGTGTCGTGGCCCCGAGTACGACTAGGTATTCATGCTCTGAAGGGTCGGTGTCAATATGACCGTGCAGCGTCCAGTAGATGTGAATCGTCATATCCATGCGTCCACGCCGATAGTACAGCGGCGGGAGCTGCTTTAGTCTGCTCAGACTCTTAGGAAATATCAGGGCATCCTTGTGTGATTTGCGTTCAGGTAGCTTAGTTTCCGCTCAAACAATTGAACGCCATTACAGAATTGTTGCAATGACCATGGAGATTATGAGGCAAATATGTATTTCCATGTGCAGCTTCATATGCCAGGAAAGCTGGTGCAGCTCAATTCTTTCTCCAGATCGGTGTGTGACAAATGTGACGTTCATTTTGCGTGTCTGTATTTTTCCCATCCATTGTATGACACCACCCACTGACATCCATCTCTGTCTGTCCCCTATCAGGTGATGCTGACCGCGCTGCGGGCGCAAATCGAGCTGGGCGACTACAACCTGTCGTCGATCGACTACCAGCAGGTGATGGCCTACACGCTGCCGCCGCGCGTCGCCGCCGTCGCCTCCGTCCACACCGTCACCGTGCACCACCAGAGCCTGGAGGGCATGTCCAGCGACCAGGCCAAACAGGCCTTCCTCAACCTCATCCAGTCGTGGCCCTTCTACAGAGCCAGCATCTTCGAGGTGGTGGTAAGTGCAAACTGTGGAATGCGATCAGAGGGACCGCATGGGAAATGTATTGGTTGTTTTTCTCTTAACCATGCCAGTGATTTTGATATGTGGATCGAAAATTAGGAATCGAGTTTGGCTTATTCAAAGCCTTTTTCCTAGTGTCAGTTTTTAAAGTTTCTAAACGTGAAGGGTTGATTATTTTTTACGCCATGCAGATGTACCTATCCATTACTTGCTATTGACCATTCACAATGTCTTACTACAATTGCCCTACACCCGTTTCTAGATGACATCACCCTCCGTCTTTGAAATGTTTAACGCTGCATCATTCTGTCTCTCGTCGCCAGCAATCGTTCACGTCCAACTGGCCCAAGATGCTGTGGCTGGCGGTGGATGAGCACGGAGTGCACCTGCTCGACTTCCGCAGCCGGAACGTGCTCTGTACGTACGAGTACGACTACATCGTCAACTACAGTCCGGCCATCAACTCACTGATGATCATCACCGGCAGCACCCGCAAACAGAGCAAGATCATCCTCAACACTGGACAGGTGAGGCGGCCGTCCCGTCGTAATTTGTATGCAGTCCTCAGGGTGAACTCAGACCCTTTCTTGGTCACCATTCCTCTAGGGTGAACGGTTTTGAAGTAGAGAATTCAACTTAACCAATCATGTCTCGCACTTTTCCCCTTTTTCTGATTTTCACGCCCTGTAGTGATCTGAAACCGAAACGACCTAACCCAACAGTACAAACCAAACTATCGTAGAAATATTGACCACGTTTGGCTGTTTCGGTGTAGCCAGTAGCAGTGTGTGTTCACAAAGCTGAGCGAAGCATTTTTCGTATAAACTCACCATATTTTTCGTTCTTTCTCCCCAGGCGTTCATGATCGCCAACCTGGTGAAGGACTACACTCAGCTGATCAAAGAGCGTCTGGCGCCCGAGGGCCGCGACCCGGGCGAGCCGGCTCCCGTGGACTGGCAGCCGGCTCCGGCCGATCCGAGCCGGCAGCGGAGCATCCTCCAGAGGCCGGCGCCGCCGCCCGCCGCGCACCTGGACGCACTCAGATAGACTGGAGAGACTGGGGAGACCGGAGGGACTGGAGAGACTAGAAAGACTGGAGGTGGGTGGAATGCCGATGGGCCCTTCCTCGCGGGCCGTGATGGAGCGCCCCGCCCAGGTCAGAGGTCCGGGGAAGTCGTACTACAGGCGGTCGCGGTCCGGAATGGAAGCTGGAATCAGTCAGTGAATATTTAGTATCCGCTGAGCGGCCCCTGCGGTGGTCTGTCGGAGCCTGGGCGACCGGTTGATCGGGTCTAGTGAGGTGTGTCGAAGTGGTATGATGCGTCCGTGGACCGGAGATCGGCTTCATCATAGCGGGACCACGCCGAGAGAGTGACGTGGCCCCAGGTGCCGAGAGACTGCCAGGGATGTCACAGAATTCCGAGAGCCGTGACCGGCTCGGACGACAAATAGATGATATATCACCTAGTCACTGCGCGATGCTGAGCGGAGAGTTTCCATAGCGTCGCCGAGACGCGCCACAAGGGGCGGTACGGGGGCTGTGCGGTCCGGTGGGACGTCCAGCGGCGAGAGGTCCGAGGTCTCCCGAACTCTCCGGACCTTGCCCGCGCCCCGGCCCGCCGACCCTGCGTCCCGGCGCCCTCCCTGTTGCTCAGACCCCGTGTTTGTATTTATTGGCAAGCTTGCGTGCTGGTGGGGCGTGTACGGGGGAGACTGTTGATCTCTGTTGTCCCCGCCGAGTGGGACGGGCGTGTCTTCCCGGATTGTGAGCGGAACGGGGCGCAGACGCAGCACCGAGGAGTCGTACTTGCTACACATTTGGTTACGCTGATCGGTCTGTCGCGCGAGGGCTTCGGTAACTTTATCGCGAGGCCGTGTGACTTCGCTGCGTTGTGACCCCGCTCATCTATGTTTGTAGCGCCGTGTATCGATCGCTTTCTACGAGAATTTTGTCGACGAAGAGTCTTGGTCGTTTTTTACATTTTTGTACTTCGTTTATCCATCGCCTTTAGGCTGTATGACTGTTGTTTTATGGAGCGAATCGAGGCCCATGAATTAGATTCATCTTGTTCACTGCATGCGCTAAGCTGTTGGATACATTTGCATGTTATAAGCTCATATTTGTTGCTGAACTGAGAATTTGTTTTATATTCGAACGTACCACAGAACTTGAGGTGAAAATGCCGTAGCGAAAATGACAATGAGCGAATTTATTTCCTACTCCGTTTTGTATGTGCAACGGAATGCTGGTGTACTTAAATACGCGTACTCCTAAAAACAAACAAGTTCATTTAACCGTAGCAGGCTCAGTACCCACTTGTCTCTAAGAAAGGTTTGCCGATTTTTTCTTCTCTGCAATAAGTCCTCATGATTAGCCTTTCCATTGTTGCATGCCAGCTCATATTTGCTGCACGCGGTGACACGCAGTGTGGATGCGTCCTGGGTCTCCTGATCACTGACCGCTTTGCTCTCTTCAAACTGGGCCGCTGAGGTTCCTCTCGGGCCGATGTCAGTAATCCTGCTGAATTCTCAGCAATGGGCCGCGGTCGGTGGCATGTATCACGTCGCCGCCCCGGCCGCCACGCGCCGGCTCCTGGCAGTAACCAGGGACTGTGAAGTACAGGAGAGAAGAGCGGGGGACGGGCGCCCACTGCCGGGGGCGGGGAGGGTGGGAGCGGCCCGCGGCTCGACAGTGGGCCACGCGAGCTCTGTCTGCCACGCTAGGTGTGTACTTCCATGGTTGTGCTTGCTTCGCAAAATGGCGTCAACTCTCTCTCTGTTTATACCTGTGTGCTATTCGTGTATATTTCATGAACATATGTTAAATAAAAGTCCTATTATTTGATGATTTTGTTTTATAAAACTGTTGCAGTGCTGAAAAGGAACGCATTCAACGCTCGCTGGAGTGCTCAGAATCGGTCGCTGCGCGGTATGACATCTGATGTTTGCGAATATTCATTCTATCTTGACTTAAGTGTTAGCCGTCTATCGCAATAGCGGATTTTCCTGCAATTTCTCCGTTTCTTCGGCGCATTTTTTTCAGCAATGATTTATCCTTTCCCTGAAATTCGTATTGTATAACGTCATCCCGTTATAGATGCCCTTTGCTTATCGGAACAGGCATTTATAAAGATCTCAGGCTCACGATGCTCTCGGTGTGTTTGAAATATTGGTTTGATGTTACCACATTTTTTAGGGTAACCATTGTCAGTTTCCAAGTAGTCAGTGTGACATTGAGTGGCCGATATTGGTCAGAATGACCGCGATCGGTATGGAATCGGTCAGGGATGACCGTGGTCGGTGATGGTTGGCCTGGAATCGACCAGTATGACCTGGATCGGTTCCTCTGACCGGAGTACAGCGTTGATGTCGACCGGCGCGCCGCTCCCGTCAATATCGGTCCCGGGCTACGGCTCGTCTCCGGGCGTTCTCATTAGAACCGGGCCGGGGCGGAGAGTCAGACCGTCCGTCCCGTCACCAGCGAAAAGAGTGCGCTCATCGGTGGGCCGCACGGCGAGGATATCCCACTGTTGCAACATTGGAGGTTCATCTGGGCTAAGAGAGGCGTCGGAGGTCATTGGAGGTCTTCGGAAGTCATCTACATCACATTATTAGGTCAGTCTTGTGGCACTGGAGACTTAAAGTACTTTCTTTTACATTTTTTAGCTGTTTTATTCGTAATGTCACACCTTTTAATTGGATTTATCTTCGTTTATATGGCCTCGGTCATCATATTTAGGTATGCTTCAATTGTCGACCCCTCTGGGCCAGACTGGCCAGCTCAAAAACTATGTATTGCAGTCCCCGCCACCACTGACCTAAAGGCAGTATTGAGTATCAGCAACACCTTACCTAAATGGTAAATAGCACGTTTTTTCCTGCGGCCTCAGGCTTCCTCAGTACGATTTCCGGACTCGAAGTGGCAGGTGCTGCTGCTGGACGGACCTGCCGTCTCTCTCCGTCCATCTGAGACTGTGGACTGAGCACCAAGCGGAGGCTCCTGGCAGCCCGGTACCATTGGGACCAGCCTCTGAGGTGACCCGGACCCGGTATCGCCATGGGCGGCGGGGTCAGTCGCAAGGGTCCTCTGGCCTCCGAGAGGGGCAGTGTCCTGCGCTCGCTGCCCCCGCCGCTGCCCAAGGACCCGCGCCTGCCGCTCACCATCCGACAAAAGTTCAGCATCGTCAAGTCGTGGAAGGGTATCAGCAGGACCATGGAGCCCACCGGAATCTACATGTTCGTCAAGTGAGTATATACAATGTCTAGGCATTTTGGGCGTCTCATTAGGGATTTTTATGGAAACTTCTTACGAGAATTTAGGTACCGATTGAAATGGATGTTGGATAATTCGAAAGACCGACTTATGTGAATATTTTCGAGTTTTTCTTTCCCGTTTTCAGGTCAACATTTACGGTGTGATAATCACTTTTTGCCTATCTTTATTTCTGACTTTCACACCAAGTGTGTTTGTTTGGAGGTTGCGTTTAATTCACCAGCACCGTGGACATACCGCACATTCATTTGTCTTTGTTCAGGGAAATTACCTCTGAGCACACAAAACATCCAGCTCTTGGCTTACGGTTGCTTCTGACCTCCAGAGTCCAGACATAGTGCTTCAGATTCCGGCTGACCGAAATATGTTTTGCACACCTTTTGGGGTGGGGAAAGGCCTCGTATTGTTGTTAAGTGTGCTGTTAAGCATTAATAGACGGCATTCCTCTGCATTGCGTAAGCCGTAAAATATTATTATCCCGCACCGAAGACAGTGTTTACAATTGCTTCACGTGCAAAGAGAGAAAATTATCAGATGTTTAACTGATTTGTTAAACGTCTAGTGACGATTAACAAATTGTTAAACGTCCAGTAGACATTTCTTCCATTTGACTGTCTCGTTATTTTCACCAGTATGCGCAGGGAAACGCAGTGAAACATCATTTTCTTCTTTTTTATTTCTATTTGCTACCTGAGCTTCAATGAACCTGTCAGTTCCCGACCGATCACATTGTCTGGACCGTTTTTCAAAACTTTATCTGTCTCGGCTTCTCTTTGTCTCTGGCTCTGCTGAAATGTGTCGTATTGTTAACCCTATTAGTGGCAGGCTCCTGGCTACTCCTATTAGTGGCGGGGGGGGCTGTTTACGATCCCCCCCCTGATATCTCGAGATCTAACGGGCCGATTTTCAAAATTCAAACGGCATTCGATTTCGCTCAACGTGATCTACATTTCCAAAAAATAAAAATTAAAAATGTCAATAGGGGTAGAGGGGGGTAAAAACGGGCAAATTGCAGATACATTTTAGACTGTTAATCACGGTCAGGTTTCTGAACCAATCTTAAAGGGACCCTCCCACCTTCAAAAAAGTTTATGAATTGGCATGAAAGTGATGTCGCTCGGTTCAGAAAGAGCGAAGACGAATATCTACCAAATTTCACCGAAAAATATTCACCGGTTTTCAAGATATTAGACTTTTACTTTTGTTTACTTTTTTGGGATCTCCGCTGTTTCTAGCGACTTTATTTTAGAAGTGCGGCGTTTGCGGCAGATGTTGCGCGTAAATAGCATATACCACCGCGTGCTACAAAACGTTTTAGTCAAACATTTAAAAATCGTTAGATATTTGCGCTGACGTCACACATTCAGAGGGGTATTCCTAAGCATTAGCCCCTCTGAATCAAAATGCTGCAATTTTGAAATTCAATATTTCTGAGTTAAGGTATTTCTCGATGTTGTGTGTGCCGAAAACGGTAATTGTGAGCCAGGGACCCCATTTTGGCTATCTCAACTCAAATCTAATGTTAAGGTGGGAGGGTCCCTTTAACGCAACTTTTGCCGATCGATAGAGAATGAACCAGGAATTCACATGGATCCTAAAAATATGCATTTTCAAAAATCATAGGCGGATAGAAATCATTGAGATTCGGGGTACACAAAAAGTATAGTAAATAAGGTTTTTGTTGGTACTGTTTCTAAGAAGGGTGGCAATGGTCTTGTAATGTTACAATTTTCTTATGAGAGAACGACTACAATTGTATTGGTCATGCATAGGCGGTGTCAGGGCACCTATGTTGGGAGGTAAAACATAACCCCCCCTTTTTGGACGCCTGGATCCGCCTATTATAGCAAAAACGTGTCAAAAGAGGATGCACAATAACTTTGTAATTTGTATATGTTATCACATGATACCTTTCATTCACTGTTCGTAAAACTGGTGCATACAGTTATAATACATCAGCATCGTGATCTTCGCCCAAATGACTCGCTTCACGAATATGACCCCCCAATTCCCACTGTTCTGGAGCCGCCCCTGGTAAAGTTATGAACTTGAAATTTTCAGGGAATGTGCCCAATTTAGTTTTACGAAAAGTCAGAAAATTTCAGCATCGTAGCTTCAGCAGTTTCGGAGATAATCCCGAGAAACCTGAGGGGTGGATGAAAACAACCCCCCCCCCTGCCACTAATAGGGTTAATTAAATAAAATGTATTTTTTACCCGAAAGGAATCAGCGGTACGGGATAAGATTATTAAACCGCTCGTAGGTAGAAAAATCATTCAAACGTCTCGCCTATCGGCTCGACGTTTAAAAGATTTGTTCTACCTACTCGCGGTTTAATGTATATCAATGGGTACCAACTGTATAGTTCTAAAACACATTTTTTTACGCGTGGATTAATATTAAAGGTGAAGGAGGATGTCCCCAGCTTTAAATGTAGGTACTCGTATTTTGTGACATTTTGTAATGTCAACTTATAATGAGCATAATATGTTCATGTAGGTAACGTTGCGAAATTAATCTGATATTGACGAAGTTTCATGTTTATATCTTCTTTAGATAACATAAATAATTATTTCGTTTTAGTTACGGGCTGCACTGAGGTTAAAAAAAAGATTATCGAGGAACAAATATTTCGGCTACCTTGTTCACTGGTTTAAAATATGAGATTGAATTTGATATTTCAATCCAGTGAAGAAGGGAACTCAATAAAGACGATTTATTTGCATTTTGAAATTTTTTCCCCTTAGTGTAGCCCGAAACTAAAACGAAACATAAGAAATTAATATATGGGTGGTAGGTCTACATATAGGTAAGTCGGTCGCCACTTGTTCGCAGTATGAATAGTGATTATTTATAGTGACCTATAAGAAAAAAGTAATATAAATACTGAGAGCGATCTCCCTCTCTCTGTCTCTGTCTCTCTGTCTCTGTCTCTCTCTCTCCCTCCCTCTCTCTCTCTCTCTCTCTCTCTCTCTCTCTCTCTCTCTCTCTCTCTCTCTCTCTCTCTCTCTCTCTCTCTCTCTCTCTCTCTCTCTCTCTCTCTCTCTCTCTCTCTCTCAGACTTTTCGAAGACCACGCGGAGCTGATCAACTTTTTCGAGAAGTTCCGCCAGCTGCGCAGTCGGGACGCTCAGGCCGAGAGCCTGGAGCTGGCTGAGCACGCCTCGATCGTGATGAACTCGCTGGACGAGGGCATCAAGGCGCTGGAGGACATGGATTACTTTTTCTCGCTGCTGCACCAGATCGGCGGCGCGCACACCCGGGTGCCCGGCTTCAAAAAGGAGTTCTTCTGGGTGAGTGAGACAGGAAAAATGCTGTTATCATTGAGGCCGGTTATATTATTCAGCGATGCAGAGTCGAAATTGGAGCCAACGAATACCTTCTATCAGCATAAGACATTAAGCGACGATTTAAAAGGGCCCATATCTGGTATTTGTTTGCTCTATTTGCTCTATTTGTTTGATGTTTTGAGTTCACAGTGTCTTTTTTATGTTCCAGAAAATCAAGAATCCGTTTCTGGAGGCGGTGAAGGCCACGCTGGGGGACGCATACACGAGCAACATGGACAATATCTACCGACTGACCATCGACTTTATCATCAGCACCGTGATCGAGGGCTTCGACCGAGCGGCCAAGGCTCGGGGCGGGCCCCCTTACCAGGACACTGATCACTGAGTAATGAGCAGTGTACCAGGGTACCGATCATTGTATCAGTATAAAAGGCCCGGGACGGGCCTCCCTACCAGGACACCGACCAATGAGCAGTGAGCAGTGTACCAGGGTACTGATTATTGTACCCGTATAAAAGGCACAGACTGGTTAATCAGTACCGAGGACGGTATTTGAACCCGTACCATGGTAATACCGACTTAAAATTGAAACATCAACCCGTGCGAGGACACCCACCATTGAATGCGTATACAGAAGGCCATTGAACTCGCATTGGTGGATGGCTTTACATGCACACTAAACCGAATTTTATTGCATGGTTTAGCTTCGTGATAGTAGCATGTTTACGGTGAATGTATCGTGTATTGTATATTAGCAGTCAACTGCCTAGCTACGTACATACATTGTACTTTTACATTGTACAATGTACAATGTAAATAGTTGTAGGGTGGTAGTGTAAATGTCCAGCCAGTCCAGCAATTGTGATTGTCGCTGCCGTTGTAATGATTCTGACTAACTACACACAATAATAGAATAAGTATATTAGCGTAAAACATATTTAAAACTGACCTTCATTAGCATGCACAATATATTGCAGTTTGCACGAGCACATCGTAATCCACCGGTACCCAGAAACGGCTTTTAATGATGACCTCCGTCTGCTATTTGGGGCTGGACCGAAAGGGGGAGGCGGGTGTGTTCCAGCCTTGGTATAAGTAAATACCAGCGCCAGCCAGTCGGCTAATAGGAACGTTTGCCAATTTACCGGCTTTGACTCATTGACAGGTCAATTGGCTGTCAGCTGTGACTTACCACCCGCACCGCCCGCGCCGCCTGCGCCCACGGTCCCATTCTTACCGGCCTTCAGATGGACAGAAATAGGTCACTTGTCCCTTAGACTGGGGTGACAAACAGTTTTCTACATATGAACAGTTATCAGGCGGGGGTGGCAGCAGAGACCCGACACAATGTCTGGTGGCCGATAGGCAACAGTGCCGCTATAATGCGCTTACAGAACAACAGTGACCAATGATCAAAGGCTTTATAAGTCAGCCACCGTTTGGCACTACCTATACATATATGCTCTGACCAAGGCCATCTATATGCTCTGACAATAATAGCTGGCGTTATGCATCGTTCTCATTAGCTACGTGTTACCAGATAAACGGTACCTACGTTGCAATTCAATAGGTTTTATAGCAAATTGTACAGTTGATTTTTGGCGCAAAAACGCGTAGTTCTCAAAGCAACCAAATGGAATAGGCTATCATATAAATATGAATATGAAAAATAGCCATTTCTATAATCGAGACATTCTATTTAGACTTTCCTATCAAGACTGACTCCTGTTTAAACCAAACAGAAGTTAGAATGACGATCTTTTACGAGATTATAATACTGTCAATAAATCATGACCGTTAGATAGTTCTTGAATTCTCGACTGAGAACATCACCATAAATGCGAGCTTTCGAACAATATTCGCCACTGGCTTCTTTGCTCTGCTTATGCAGTTTTCAATATGTTCTGCTCCGTGCGAAATTCGGTCCCGGTCCGTGCGAGGGACGTGTGTACTGTGTAACCTGACTGTCTAGTTGTGTTCCGGCACGGAATATATAGTCTACGCCATATCATGTAGACTATATACGACATGTCGTAGACTATATATTCCGTGGTTCCGGGCAGTTCTATGAAGAGCTTCATGATCATGGAGGCTATCATTCATTTTTATATAGACGAGCTATCATAGGAAGGTAGCTCAAGCTGTTTTCTTCAACCAGCCAATGCAACAAAAGAAAATGCAGCCAATATCGTATATTTATTGGTATAATCAGTTGAGTACAATACACGCGAACATGGCGGTAAGATATGCCCACGAACATCGAAAATATATTTACGTAAACGGTGTAACGCTGAGCGTTTGAGATCAATCAACATACTTTGTTCGGTCTTTCATTTGAGGAAAAAGACAGTAAAAAGGGTGATAGATACACGCAAAATAATACGATGATTTCGGCTGAACACATTTCGGCGATTCCTTCATCATGCCGATCACACTTGTCACCGAGTCCACGACACGTGAGGCCCCGTTATATCAGTCATATCGACGCTGCTTCTACACTGAACCATTTACGATGCCGCAGGCAATGCCTCCGTATAGACGGCATCACAGTATTTGACAAAGATGAAAACTGCATGATTTTGAAACGTGATAGCCTTTCGAAAGTGACGGCTAAGATGGGGCAAAGCTCTGTATGATAATATTGTCGGTGATTTAGCTAGGTACAATATCATATTCATGTATGCAGCTTATGTACTAAGATGTCCCTAACGTAACAAAATGTACAATGCTCAAAACATCGTTACTTTCTATAAACAAGGACATCATGCTTTTAACATTACGTATATTTGCTACACATGACATCTCTTTTGTTTTGGTAAACCTTCAATCGCGTGACATGTGTTACATAAGGGCAACCATCGGCATCAACTGCAGCACAACCGTCAACTCCATGGCACACTGACTAAAATGCTAAATCGGATGACTACTCTATCAAATATGACTAGAATCGTAATCTCCTAAATGATGTGTCAGTCCTTACAGGTGCAAGAGTTGAGCATAATCTCTCACTCGCCCCACACTATATCGTAGGTCTACGAAACCTAGCCACAGCGGGCATTGTGTTACATGATGGTTTCATCGTTGCAACGGTTACACGGTATGAGTTTTGATAAGCCGTTTTATCCATTTGGAAACCACCCTGAATAAGTTAATTGACAACCAGCCCGCACTATATTTCAATTTGACGGGTGAAAGGTGAAATTTGGTGCTAAGGCGTTGTTCATGGTTGCAATATGGGAGACAGGACCAGCCTCGAAATATCATGGTTGTGTGTACAACACTCTGACACATCTTGAATTCATGGTGGGGCAAATGAATAGCTTTGTGAATTATACGTGAGCAATGAGCAAACCTATTGAAAATCGGTTATAATGAATTTGGAACATTTCAGTGTGACTGTTTGATTGTCAAATGTGACTAACTATCTAACGTCTCACCTTCAGTTTAACCAGCGGAAAAAAGATAGGTATAAGAAAGGGGTCACATGCTTTCACATAAGTGACTGCTACTTGTCAAGAGTCAAGTGATTTTTTTCATCTAACAATTTGCATTTAAAACGAACCATTTATCAATAACTCGATGTGTTACTTTTATACTGTTCATGCAAACGCACGCTAGTTGATTCAGAGTTTACTAAGCATTCCATGTGATGGATTAATTGAATTGCTAAGGTCAAGGTGCACCGCAAATTTGTTTAGTGTTCAGTTCTTTCGTGAATAACATGGCGCACGGAACCATGGTAACGCGGTTTAGCGCTTTCACAACGCTTCAGAAACTATTTTCCTCAAGCTACCATTAAACAGCTCAGCATGTGTTTGCCTAACCGTGTCAAGGAGGCTTTTTTAAACGTCAGCCAGATACAGTGCATTGTAAGCCGCGGTGCCTCACCGCGTCATATCCTAACAGCGCGACCCCAATGGTAAAGTACCCTCTCTTTGGTATAAGATATAACCATCCAATTTTGTGACTAATATATCGAGATCATTCGTCAACTTCTGGCGAGACCTTCATATAACGCCGTGCCAGAGAAATCCTCGAAACACGTGTAAGGGGGGCACGCGATGTGTCGGTCGGGTCCAGCCGAGTACAGCTCAGCTGGCCTCGTGTAGCCGACACGGTACACGAATGGTAACTGAAGGTGCCTCACCGCGCCCGTCGTGGCGGCGAGCCGGGACGGGTGGGGCGTCTGCCGGGGTCCGAGGAGTTGCTTTCTGTCTGTCTGTCTGAATATCAGATCGAGCGCGCCACCCTCAGAGGCAGGAAGCCGTTTTCGGAGAGCTCGGCCTCGTGCACGTACTCGAGTGCCACCGCCAGCATGCGACTGGTGCTCTCCAGTACTAGGCAATTCCTGCAGAATCGAAAACGCAACGTCAATGTTCAGCAGCGACAGGGTTAGGAGGGCATCAGTGGTATTGAATGTCGACATACCCTTCACTGTTCGAAAGGTCGTTGTTAAACGCTCAAATATTTAAGTTGCTGAAACATTAATTTAAAACAAATTACGATGCATGCAAAAAAAAATTGTAATTTATTGCAGCGACCTAAAACATTTTGAATTTTATCATAGTGTGCATGTTTCTAGAGCAATAAAAGTATACATAAGTGGATCTCAGAGTAGCCGCCCACCTCATCAACCTCCTGGAGCAGATGTGGTAGCGGCGCAGCGTGACGTCGGCCACCTCGGCCACCACCGGCTCCAGCAGCTGCTCCGGCAGCGTCTCAGTGATGACGCACATGATGTTCTGCAGGCTGGCGCTCAGCCTGAGGCGCAGAAACAGTCGCTGTTAGAGGTCCACAGCAGACTGTGCGGCTCACTGCACAACGGCGCTTCATGCACAAGTGGCACAGCCGTGAGCACGTTGAGGAAGTGAAATGATATTTTGTTCCACTTCAGCCCTCTATACAAGCTTAGTCGAAGGAATGTGCATTCCCGTCAATGAACGATACAATAAAATAACTAAAGTAAACGACCAAATAATTTATCGAAGCACAAAAAAAGAATGATAACGCAGCAGGAAATGCGCCTGGTTCCCGTCCACCGACCCACCCCGTCTGGCTCACTCACATGAACATCTGGTCGACGAGCCGCAGTGTCTGATTGCCGCAGGTCTGGTGTGACTTGTTGATCTCGTCCACCATCAGGTGCAGGTGGATGGCCTCGTACAGAGAGCTCCGGTACAGCTCCAGCAGCGCGTGCTGACGCTGTACAGAATGGGGGGCGAGCCCGGTCAGATCAGCAGAAAATGAAACCACCCATTGGAGGGCAATAGAGTAGTTTTACTCAGCATGCCTATGCAGGTACGTACAGCGCTTCTCCAGCAATGAGTATTGAGTAATTCGTCTATAAATTAAATGTAAAAGCTACATTTCGAACTCCACCCAGCGTAATAAGCACCTGTCGCTGTTCTCTGCTGTATAAGGCGGCGCTTGCAAATGTGTCGGGACACGCTGCATTGAGTGCGGCGTGTCCATCTAATATCCGAGTCCAATGTATGACCGTGGGTGTGGCCGGCTCAAGTCTAGTCACGGCCTCAGTCTGCCCTCGGCTGACCGGGTGGTCATCGATACTGAGAGCTCACCCTTGCATAACCCGGACTCCCGACAGCGGCATGGCTCATGAGGCGCCGCCCCCGCCTTCTCCCCAAGTCGGAAGAGATGGGGTGGGGGATATGAATGCCGACCTGCCCTGTCTGTATCCCATCATGCAGTGTGGGTGTGTGGGACCGGCGACCGCCCGAGTGCAAAGTAAAGTAATCTTGTAAAGGAGCTATGTATCTAAATCTATGTAATAGCACCATTGGCCTGGACGCCGACCGCGTGGTGCTAGCCTCTCATGTGTCGTTGCACTCACCGGGAGGCCCGACAGGGAGAGCGGCGGCACGCGCTGGCTGCCCAGCTGCGGTAGACCGCTGCAGTCGGGTACGGCCTGCAAAACACACATACAGGGCAACTGTGAATGGCTAAATGCTGATGATGGTGCTCGGTCATCCATGGACATAAAACAACCGGCTGATACTTATGAAAAGTAAATGCTCATATATATGCATTAAAAGAAACGGCAATACACCGCGGGTATGTAAGAAAACATTCAAGTGAACAAACAGTATATGTTACATTTAACAAGTTTAAATTGAAAAAAATAAAATGATTATTACATAACACCTTCCGTACACGTTTCTTTTTGTCCAGGCTGCTGAGTACCGGAATGCCTTAGACGAAAGACTTTCGCGGGTGCTCAATGGCGCTGAATGGCCACTCTTGTACTAAGCAGATCCAGGCCCAGAAAAGAATGCCATGTTTTGCTCCCTATGAACGTACATTGTTTATAATTCGACTTTTCCGATCCCTCTTACCAATTATCAGGACAGACTTCGACTTCTCAAAACCCAATCGCTTTGGGCCGAGCGGTCACCATAATCTGACGTGAGTAGCTCTTATCAGAGCAAATCAAATGCGTTAACCCTCGCCGGCAATACACCATTTAGCGTCCTTCGACGGCACAAGGGGGGGGGGGGTACGACCCCCCCTTGAGTTTGGCCCCTGATCAAGCTAGAGCTTCGCGGAAAAAAACGAGCGTGTTGCTCGTGACGAGAGGAAGCCAATGATACCCAATTTTAAGGTCCTAGGTCATTGGTTGACCTTTCAGGTCAGGTCAATGACCCAAACATCGGGAAAATCGGGACCTGTTAGAACGTCGTAAAGTGTGGTTGGCGTACCGCAAACTCTCGCAGCTGGCTGGCCAGGGTGTATGTACGTACCGCAAACTCTCGCAGCTGGCTGGCCAGGGTGTACGTACCGCAAACTCTCGCAGCTGGCTGGCCAGGGTGCTGGCGCGGTGCAGCTCGATGGCCAGCTCCTCGGCTCGCTGCTGCTCAGCGGGCAGGTGCTGACGGGACGGAGGAGACCGGACGCGCGGCAGCAGCGCGCCCGTCAGCGACACCTGGCACGGGTTCAGCAGCCGCGACAGGAAGGCCAGCTCGCTGACCAGCACCAGCTCCTCGCCGGCCATCTCGACTGGTGGAGGGGGCAGCAGCAGCTCGCGGCGGCTGGCCGGCAGTGCCGCGCATAACACTGCTGCAAGAAGGGGGGGAGGTGTCAGTGACACAGCGCAGAGTGCCGCTGTCAGAAGGGAGGGAGGTGTAAGAATGTAGCGACGCGTACAACACCGCTGTCGTGAGGGATGTGTCAGATCCGCTGCTAGGAAGGGAGGTGTCAGCAGATCCCGTGAGAAAGGATGCTGTTGAATCGGTAATAAGTATAGCGAGGGAGCTTCTTATCGTGGTTCATAAGTCATGTGTCAGTGGACGATTGCACGATATAGAACTGAATCCGCTACAGCGCTCTAAACATCTTTTAATGTTGTGAATGTGACCAACGTGTCGTCGCTGTTACCAATAGAAAATATTTCCCGTTGAAGAACTTGAGAGTGCCACCCTCATATTTTCGACTGCTGTCATAACTTTACCGTTAATTAATTCAATTACTTAATTCAGTTACAGCTATTAAATTGTACCACTGGTCACTGGACCCAATCGGATGCGCCAAGGCTGTTTTTCGCATCCCGGAGGAAAGGGCTGTCGCCAAACTGTACTGCCTGCCGGCAGACTGTGCCGCCCGGCAGTAGTGCAATGCGGCACAGTCTACCCTACACCGCAGCGACAAACTTATGCCGGCAGCCCATGTTAAAGAGGCTAAGGACACTTGCAACGACCTGCATAGATGGGAGTGGAATACTATTCGTCAGCCAGATTAGCGGCGGAACACCTTCAATCAATCACTGCCGACTTTTGGTCCCATTCTTTCCATGCAACGCCCATAGGGCTAATGCTAAAATGCCAAAATCAAAGGGGGGCACGGTGCCTCAGTGCCCTCCCCGTTCCGCCCCCTATGTCATCAGCAACATTTCTTTGCAATCCCATACAAGTGTTAAGTCATGCAAACGTTATTTTATTTTGTCACATCACATACGATTTTGAATGTAAAGCCAAAGCGGTCGGCTGCCTATGGTCATTGGGGATTTTGAAGTAACATGTATATTGTATATGTAAAAATGTCCACATTTTTAGGCTATTTGGAGAATTTCAAGTAACATGTACAGGTAGTAAAAATGTACACATGGTCATTGACGAGGGGCGAATAAAGTGTCATTATTGCCCAAACATCGCCCTCCAAAGTCACGTTATTGTACGCAGTTCTTAGATATATTGCTATGAACGTTTTGTGAGCTATGTAAACGTTCATAACAAAACGTTATGAACGTTTTGTGAGCTATAAGTTTTGGGCTTCACTCGTTCCTAGGCAAGGGTTCCGCCACCCACCGGGGTAGGGAGGATGTCCCCCCCCCAACCAAAATGTTGGGGGACATACTATCTTTTGTGCCCTCCAATACTCGGCTCTGCTGCAGGCAAAATTCTTACAGATAGAATAGAACAGGCTGCAGGTAGATAAACCGAATATTCTTTCTAACACCGAAAACAGAACATACGTGTATGTAGGTACAAAGATTCGGAGCCCTTGTTCCTAGGGGGCATTAAAAAATATTGTTAGTGATCAGTTCTGCACAATGTAATCCATAGCTTGCAGAAATTGTGAAACTAAACGTGTGCATTGTGTACGAAGACTTCAAAACAACGCTAATATCAACGACAGTGCAAGCCCGGCATAAGTCTGTCGCTGTGGTGTAGGGTAGACTGTGCCGCATTGCACTACTGCCGGGCGGCACAGTCTACCGGCAGTCGGTACAGTTTGGCGACGGCCGGGACGCGACAAACAGCCTTGGCGCATCCTATCGTGTCCAGGGCTCAACTTCTTTTGGCTGTTTTTTTTCGGAGGCATTGATCAAGCCTGACAAGGGCTTTTGAAACACTTGTAAATATTTTTCAAAGGAGTCAATCAAAGTGTTTTCTTTTAGAAAAATTTACATATCTAGCTTTGATAAGTATTCGATACTCCAAGTTTCTTAATATCACAGGTGAAGTAACTATGATAAGAAATATAATATCGCATAGCATCTCAATTTCTTTGTCGTGTCCTCTAACACCGTTTTCATGTTAACCTGTAATGTGACGACCAACGAACTTTATATTTATAGCCTTAGAGCCATGTGAAGATTTTGTTATGTTGGGACACTGAACTGATATAGTTGGGCTTAGGAAATAATGCTATGTATAGAAACCAATAACTCCTGCTTTCTGGAAAGCTGCCGGTAATATGATTTGAGAAGCCTACGACAGCTTTAAGAGATATTGGCATGTTTCTGGCGAGGAGTCAGCTTTAGATGTCCGGGATTTGGCCTAAGATATAAAAGTACAAGACACAAATGGAAAAAGCTTACCGTTACTCCTATCGCAAAGCAGTAGCGGCGGAACACCTTCAATTAAGGGGGAGGGGGGGGCACTGCCGACTTTTGGTCCCATTCTTTCCATGCAACGCCCATAGGGCCAATGTTAAAATGTCAAAATCAAGGGGGGCACGGTTCCCCGGTGCCCCCCCCCCCGTTCAATCGCCTATGTCGCAAAGCATATTTAGCTTCTGTAGCCACGACAAATATAATCAGTTGTTCTATTCTTTATGTATCTGGAGTGATCTGCGTCACAAATTTATCTGTTCATTTAAATGTCCAACTCAGTGCTTCTTTTCACACTTACCATTCATATAAATTACTGAACCCAGAACCAATAGGGCAAAATGACCACCTTCTATCATTATCGTCCCTTCACGGCACTGGCAACAGTTCACTAACCACGGGCTACCTAAATCTCCTCAGAGAAGGGCTCATATGCTGGCTCATGGGTCGAAAGGAGAGCGCCGGCAGCAGAGCGTCGGCGGCGGACCATACCTGGGAGGCAGAGTGCCAGCGCGGCGACGGCAGTGGCGCTCGAGCAGCTCCGGGCAGCCATCACAGAGCCGGGAGTACGTGTGTGCAACTGTCGCGCCGCCGAGACAGGGTGTCCGACGGCCGGAGTCGGCCGTCTTTATAGTCAGTCGGCGTCGGCGACCACCCACCGGCGGCGCACGGTCCGGTCACCGGCTCACCTGGTCATACCGTCGGCAGTCCGCCTGCGCAGCCGCTGCTCCTCGACACTGCAGCGGCCAGAAGGTGCCCGACCGCGACACCGTCCACCGTCTGCCGACAGCTCGGCGACCGCCCACCGCCGCCGGCCGCCCAGCTCCGTCACACCGAATGACAACTCCAAATGCAGTGAATGAACGCGAACGATGGGTTCCCGGAAAGGTCAGATCGGTGGCCGACTGCCACTATGGGTGTGGTGACTCGTCTGACTACGGATGAGCCCCCTAGACCAGAAGACGGAAGTGGGAATGGACTGTGAACTTTGGACGATCGTGGTGACCTTATGAGCTCGCCTCCGAGATCTCCGTCCGCCATTTTCATATCTTCCTTTCGTGGGAAGGAGATCACATGCAAAATACAGACAGATATTATCTGGTATGCATGCATTTCTATTATTCATTTTGCCATCTAAGGTCTTTACTTGCTCCTTTATCTTTTACGTAATTCGAAAAGGCATTACCATAAACGAGATGGAGTGACCGAAAGAGTCGATGGGGGGGGGGATGGTCGGTGCTGAGGCACACGCAGACGGATCAGCCCCATTCATCGAAGGCTGCACTTCTCTGATTGGAATATACCTCTCTGCAGTACCTCTCTGCTTCTCTGATTGGGATATATCACCTGAGAGAGCAGCTATGCCCCGCTGACAATGCTTACAAGCAACGCGACTGCCCAGTTGGAGCCCCTTTTCTGTACCAAAGAGGACTTTTAGGCTAAATGGGGATAAATCTGTGGACATTGACTCAGTATCGCGAAGCCGCGGCCCGTATTGGTCTCCCACAATGTCCGATCTATCCGTGAAAACTAGCGAGAGTGCCTGCAACATGTTATAGGCACTGGTCAGGTCAGGAAACCGATCGGTATCTGTCATGCAGTATGCCATTCAATTCAGATACTATAGGGTGCGTCAGTCAATAGTTTTGATACCTTACAAATCGTCCTCCTTTCAGTAAAGATAATGCAATAGATTCATTGCAACGGTCAATCCATGAAGCTGGGTACAGCGTGAGACACCAGCAGGTATGCTAGGCACAAAGTTATGGAGATGCTAAGGGCTGATATTTGCCCAGGTCCACCTAAGCGCCTTTTCGAGCTGTCCCGGGTCGCTGGGTGGTTCAGTCTCGTCAAGCTCCTGATGCACTACTCTTTGAGGTAATGTGATTAGATTTAGGTTAGAGATGTTCCATAGCCATGTGTCGTTCGCCAAGATATCGGATAGGTGCTCTTGGCGCCACCTTTAAGTTCTGGCAGACCGATGAGCAGGAGCACCGTCCTGCATGAAAAGGCTGGCTGGCCTGATTTTCCGTTAATTTTGCTCCTACACGAGTTTTATGGGCCTTGAATACGAGTGTCCCTCCAACACTAATGGAAAATTGTCCCAGACACTGGATGATTCTATTAACCCTCGCCGGCACAAGGGGGGGGTTGATGCAACCCCCCTTAGGTTTTTCGCGAATAACTCGCGTAAAAAGCAGCCGATCGCGACGGAACTTTAGTACCTCGCATTAATCAATTTTACACCTACCCTGAAAATTTCATGACCCTGACCCAAATGACCTTTGACCTGTGACCTACTTTCCGAGACCATGTTTGGCTGGAATCGCGATTCGGCGTATGTCGGCTCGCATTAACCGCGCGTTTGCAAGCTTTTCGTGGTTTCAAACGTTCAAACATGTGAGTTGATGTTGCTCCCATACATTAGGGTGGATGTCAAGGTCACCTGAGGGTCAGGTCAGGTCATTGACCTTTGGTGGCCTCGGTTCACTTCTTCGAGTTTTACATGTTTCTAGGCTAGTTTTTGGAGCTGATTTAGAATTTAGCAACCTTTTGAACAATTACGAAGTAGTTTTGGTGCCTTCGTAACATGTTACGAAGCTGTCAGAGGCGGTTGACACGTATTACGAATACCCGTCACGACCCCTACCGGTTGACCTGACCTGACCTGACCCGATCTGGTCTAAATGCTTACCTAAAGACATCATCTCTGATCAAAACCTACACG